AAATTAAGGCCCTTGAATGGTGAGACCATCCTGGGTTATAGGGGTGGGGCCGATGTAATCGCCGGGTTCCTTTGAGGAAGAAGGAGGTAGGAAGGTCAGAGACGTGACAATAGAAGTAAAGTTCAGACGAAGATCTGAAGTCCTGTGCGACCTGCTTTGGAAGGAAGAGAGGGTCTGAGCAGAGCAATGTACATGGCCTCCAGAAGCTGGAACAGGCGAGGCAGGGCAGCCTCGCTGACCCATTTGAAACTTCTGACCTCTGGAGCTGGAAGACAGTAAATCTGGGCAGCAACAGGAACCTAATACGCTGACGCAAAACTCAGCTTTGTTCTTCCAAGGGCCGGGGAAACAAACCCATCTTCTTAGGAAGCCGGGGACGCCATAAGTCAAGGTGTAAAGTAAGATCTGAAAGTCGAGGGAGCAGTGTGCAAGCCTGGGCGTGCAAGCAAGTGTGGCAGACATCAACAACCCCTCCCAACGGATCGCACCCTGACAACGCCGGGAGAAGGGTGGTTCCGGTTTCCAGACGGCTGCTTTCCTCCAACACGCACGTGGACGCACATTATCTCCCTTTTTCAGGACACCTAGTATTTGTCCATTGAGGAAAAAAATGTTTTTTAAGTTTATTTATCTTGACAGAGACAGAGACAGCGTGGGGGGGGGGGAGGGGCAGAGAGCGAGGGAGAGAGACAATCCCAGTCTCCAGGCTATCAGCGCAGAGCCCAATGTGGGGCTTGAACTCACGAAACTGTGAGATCGTGACCTGAGCCGAAACCAAGAGTCAGATGGTTAACCGACTGAGCCACCCAGGCGCTCCTAGTATCTGTACATTTTTATTTTTATTTATTTTATTTATTATTTTTTTTACATTTATTTATTTTTGAGACAGAGAGAGACAGAGCACAAGTGGGGGAGGGGCAGAGAGAGAAGAAGACACAGAATCCAAAGCAGGCTTCAGGCTCTGAGCTGCCAGCACAGAGCCCGACGCAGGGCTTGAACCCACAAACCGTGAGATCATGACCTAAGCCGGTCAGACGCTTAACTGACTGAGCCACCCAGGCGCCCCTATCTGTACATTTTTAAAAAAGTGTTTATTTATCTTTGAGAGAGAGAGTGTGATCGAGAGAGGGGCAGAGAGAGAGAGGATCCGAAACCGGCTCTGTGCTGACGGCAGAGAGCCCGAGGTGGAGCTTGAAACTCACAAACCCTGAGATCGTGACCTGAGCTGAAGTCGGACATGCAACCTACGGAGCCACCCAGACGCCCATAGTATTTGTACATTGTTTTGATTGAAAATGTGATACGCTAAAAAAGTGATACGTTAATTCACACTAGAGCCCTAATAACTCATTGGTTCTTCCCTCCCACGGTAATTTGCATTTGAAAAAGAACAAGCCCACAGAACAGAATACAGACCCCAAAGAACAAATCCAGGGGCGCCTGGGTGGCTCAGTGGGTTATGCGTCAGACTTTGACTCAGATCATGATCTCACAGTTTGTGAGTTTGAGCCCCACATCCGGCTCAATGCTGTCAGAGCACAGCCCACTTTGGATCCTCTGTCTCCCCCCCCTCTCTCTCTGCACCCTCCCCCCTCAACATACTGGTCTCAGACTCGGGACCTCTGGGTCGGTGAAACAGTAGATTTCTGGGAAGCCACCCAGTTTGTGGTACTTTGTGACAACGACCCCAGGAAACTAGAATTGTCTTCAGATGTTGGGCAGACATTCGAAAGGAGTGGAGTGGACGTGGCCTGCAGGCCTCCACACTGAGGGCGTTCCAGAAGCTAATCACCCTGTCAGGGAGCTAGAATCAGCAGGCCAGCAGGTGAGGGTGGAAGGCAGACCCCAGAGGAGACAGGTGTCCCCAGCCTTAGCAAGGAAACCCACGAGGACAAGGAGGCTGCCCGAAGGATAGAGCTAAGCTGATCCCAACCACGGCAGAAACAGAAACTCTGAACACTCCCTGCGAGCAGCCAAGAATCCCGTGTGACCAGTCCGCCCTCCCGGATCTCCACAGGCGGCACACCCCACAACCCACAACACCCGGCACGGTCGGTCACGAGCATCTAGGAAACCCTCAGAACGGAAAGCCACATCTGGGACTGTCCTGAACACAAGTCTTAAGGGGAGTTTGTAGAGTTGGACACCTCCCCTTCCCTGCCCTTGCAGCCTCCCAGGCGGAAAGGACTCAAGGTCAAGGGAGGCCTCGAGGCTCTGCAATTCAACTTGGGAGCTGCGATCTCCCAGGGAGGATTGCTTCCGGGAACGGGAACGGAGGGATGGTGGGGATCCTATCCTAATAAAAGCAAGTCATGTGCCATCTGGCGGCCTTGGCCCCACGTTTCCTGAGAGCTGGAGCTGGGCCCAGTGAATGCCTGCTTTCTTTCTCTGAAGCAGAAGAGAGGCTCTCAGGAGTGTCTCCCTGGGGAGGCTGCCTGGGGGAGGAAGCGGTGGCTGGGAGAGATGGAAACGCAGTCTCTTTGACCTGTGAGACAGGTATTGCCTTCAAGCCGAGCTACCCAGTGGCAATCTGGTCAGATCAAGCCTGGTGGGCCTTGCTGGGCACAGGGGCCGGTTGCTAGGACTAGGCTTGGGGGAGGAAGCCTGGAGAGGGCTTCAAGACGTTTTCTTTCTCTGGTTTTCTTTCTCATTGGGGCAGGCCACCTACCGGGTCAATTGGTAAGATACTCAAACTTTATCAGCAAGAGGCCTGTCTTCCCGGCTGGGAGGCAGGACTCCTGGATTTACTTCTCCGCTCTGTTGGGAATTGGTTTGACAGCTTGGGCAAGACCCTTCACCCCTCCGGGTTTGGGTGCCCCCAATTGTCAAAGGGCCACAAGCATCTCGTTCTTGCCCAATCCTGTCTCTTGGGCCAGGGCTGCTGATGGGTGAGTTTCTGCATCAGATAAGGTTCTTTAGAGAGAGGCGGGGGAGAGGCGGCCTGGGAGCGGGGAGGTGAATGACAAGAAGGAGGGGGGTTACAGCGGAGGCCGTGGAGGTGAGGGGCGCAGGAGAAGAGGCGCCAGGGAGGACAGAGGAGCCATTGTGCAGACTGGAACCCGGGCCAGAGGGCTTTGCCCTTCACCTCCCTCCCACTGGGCCCCCGGAGGCCGGATAAAGAGCCCAAAAGGCTGCCCCGCCTCCCCTCGCCCGCAAGGTTTCTGGTCAACCCCGCCTCCACCCGACTCCCTGCGACTCCGGCGGGGCTCCAGCCTGGGGCGCCTGGAGGAAGCGCGGGACCCTGTAGCAGGCGAGCTCTCTCACCAGGGACTCATGCACAGCCACATCTTCCCTTCCCTGTGCCTCAGTTTCCCACCAGACTCCAAGGTTTAAAGCAGCAGCTCTTCAGGCCTGATGGGGGAAGGGGGAGGCTGGCCTGGCCTTCTCCGTAGCCACCTCCCTCCAAGGCCGAGATCTCAGGGGGAAAAAAGCGCGTCCCGCTTTTTCGAAAGCGCCTAATCCAGACTTAGACCCTAGCCTGCGCCGGAGGGGAAGAGAGCGGACGGAAGGGCGGGAAGGGGAGGAGGGGAGCAGGGGGGAGGGG